CCAAGATGGTTACGGGCAATATAGGCAGCAATACAAGGACCATCTAAGATACGAGAAGCATCAAAATTGATTTTTATGTTATCTTGAGATGGAGCAGACCACATGATGGGCTTTCAAGTTTTGTGAAAAGATTCTAAAGCTGCACCTTTTTCTATTTCCAAGTTATCCATGAAATCATGAAGGGCTTGATCAAGAATTGTTTGAGGGGGGATCAGAATGTAATTGAAAATTTTCTGATTACTATTTTTCCAAATAGCCCACAAAATGAAAGCGATTTTTTCTTTAATCAAGAGTTCTTTGTTTCTCTTTATTTTGGACAGTCTGGCCCACCAGTCAAGTAGGGTTTGACCACTATCCCTCGGAATTTCTAACGGGTCACTAACGATAGACCAAATTTGACATGTGAAAGGATAATACTTGAAAATATGATCCAAGTCTTCCTCCTCACAGCAGAAGTTACAAGATCCATCTATATCGAAACCTCTTTTCCTCAGTTGCATCTTTGAAGAGAGCTTATTTTGGAAGAATAGGAAAAGAAAAGTTTTGATCTTTGGAGGGCTCTTAATGTTCCAAATGATGTCAAGTCAATTTGTAGAGTTATTTGCCCCTAAAATTGATGAACATTTCAGCAAATAGACTGATTTAATAGTAAAATTTCCTGTAGAGTTCCCCTCCCATATAAATCTATCTTCAAAATGTCTACGGGAGATAAATATGGATTTGATTTTTTCTCATATAACATTAGGAACAATTGTTCGAATTCTGGGTTCATCCCAACACTCCCTTTCTAATCTAAGTCAATCAAATCTAATACCAAAATATTGACAATCTTCTTGTTTTCATTAGAAATTATTTCTGATAAAGGTTTGTTGGTTACCCATTTGTCATGCCAGAAACTAATTGTTCGGCCATTACCAACTTGGCACTTAATGCCTTTTTTTTAGAAGATCTCTGGAATAGAGGATATCTCTCCATAACCATGAGGTATCAATTTTTTGATTAATATCCCAAAAAGAATTTCCTTTCATATATTTACTTTTAATAAGTTTAACCCAAAGATTTTTCTCTTCATATATTTACTATTGGAGATTTCTTACTCCTAAACCTCCCCATCTTTTGGGGGTACAAATGCATTTCCATTTCATTAAGTGAAGGGGTTTCTTCCCGTTATTTTGGTCCATAAAAATTCTCTTTGAATTCTTTCCAATTCCTCCAAAGAATTATTTGGAATTTTAAATGACCCCATATTGGGGCATCATGTTAATAGTGGAGTTTATTAGAGTAAGTATTCCCGTTAAGGAAAGAGAATTTTTTCCAATTTGCTAAATTTTGAATCATTTTCTCATTAATGAAGGAAAATGTATTCTTTGTAACTCTTTTGTTAATTAAAGGAGCTCCTATATAGTTCTTTGGATCTGTTTCCTTTGGAATTTTTAGCATCCTTGAAATCATTTTTTAAGGTTTGGGTGGATATTCCTTGATATAAAGACTGAGGATTTGTTGAAATTTGGGGTCTGGCCTATGCTTTTTTATAATTTGAAAGGATTTTTTTTTTTAATTTTCATGCATGCAGGAACTATAGTATTTGCAAATATAAGACAATCATCAGCAAATTACAAAATGGGAATCTTTAGACCCCCTCTAGAAATTATGCACCCGATTTGATTGGTACCAGATTGTGCTTCTTTTTCCAAATTCTTTGCAAGAGCCTTAGCACAGAGAACAAAAATGTATGGAGAAAGAGGATCCCCCTACCTGATACCCCCTACTTGATTTGAATTCAATAGAAGGGGTCCCATTAATTAAAATTCTATAAGAGACAGACTTGATACATTCCATAACTCAAGCAATCCACTTTTCATGAAAGCCAAAATTTTGAAGAACATTTTCAATGAATTCTTATTCCAACTTGTCATAGGATTTCTCCATATCAATTTTACATGCCATAATTTCAGTCTTGCCCTTATTTTTTTTTTTCATAGAATGAATCATCTCATGAGCAATAAGAACATTATCATTAGTCTGTCTATTAGGAATAAAAGCACTTTGATTCGGTGAGATAATGTTGTCAAGAAGGGGTTTGATTCTATTGATCAGAATCTTCACAATTATTTTGTGACATTACAAAGGCTGAATGGCCTATAATCATTTGCGTTATTTGGGTTCTTTTTTCTTAGGGAACAGAGTAATAAAGGTTTGGTTCAAAATTCCACACATTTTTCCATTATGGAATAAGGCTTTAACTACACCGCAGACAGTTTCTCCAATAGTGCTCCAGTATTTCTTAAAAAATAGGGCATTTAGCCCATCTGTTCCTGGAGCCTTGAGATCTCCCATAGATTCAAGAGCATCACGAATTTCTTCATTTGTGACATTCTTAGAAATTATATTATTGTGATCCTCCGTGATGCAATTATTGATGACATTTATAAAATCATATGCTCCAATGACTCCTTCAGACTTAAATCTCCTATTAAAGTTTTCCACAAAATTTCTTTCAATATTTTCTTGGTCGGTCATTTATCCACACTCCTTCACTTTTAATCTTTACTATTCTGTTTTTGTTCTTTGTAATGGTTGCCATAGTGTGGAAAAATCTATTGTTTTTGTCCCCAACTTTAATCCAGTCGATTCTAGCACGTTGGGCCTAGTAAATCTCTTCTCGTTCCAGAGTTTTATTCAATTGCTTTTAGAGGGCATTCTCAAGATTTATGATATTAGAGTTATTTAAATCTTCACTAAGATCCCTTTGGTTAATCTTCAGTCTTTCTAAAAGGATTTTTTTCTTTTGAAATAAATCACCAAATTTTTTTCTTATTCCACTCCCTTAGGTCCTTTACAAGGTTATTTATTTTTTTAATGGATTGGAGAGCTTTGGATCCATTAACTTCGATATTCCATCCCTTATTAATAACATCAGAAATACTAGGACCGTTGCACCACATTGATTCGAACTTAAAAGGTTTTGGACCCCTATAACTTTGTATATCCATTTGGAGCAATAATTGGGAGTGGTCCGATGCCATAAAAGGAAGATTGGAGAGAACACCATTAGGGTATTGGAGTCTCCACTCCTTATTACCAAACACCCAATCAATTCTTTCCATAATGATTTTATTCTTCCATGTAAAATGTAAACCTTTCATTTCAATCTCCATTAGGTTACAGTCATTAATAAAGTTGTTAAAATGCCTCATTTGGCTAGGTCGAGGGTCCCTCCCCCCTCTTTTATCTTTCAATTGACATATAATTGTTGAAATCCCCAAAAGGACACCAAGGACCATTGATATTGACAGCAATGTCTCTAATCCAGTTCCAAATGGTCGATTGTTCGGTTTTATTTGGAAGGGCATAAACAAAAGTGCTCCACCAACTTTTTTTTTTTTTTTTGAGTCATTTTCATTAATAATAAAGTGGGCAAGTCTATTATTGGAGCAAATAATTTGAAGAGAAACTTGACTACGATCCCATAGAATCCAAAGGCCCCTGAAAACCTATTGGATCAATCAAATAATATTCATCATAAATAAATCTTCTAACAATTTTCTTTGCATGAGTAGAATTAACCCTTGTTTCCATAAAGAAGCATAAACGTGGCCTATGAGTACTTATAAGATTTAAAATTTGGCGTTGTAATCTGGGATTCTGGGTCTACCGGCGCCTCTTACATTCCAACAAAGCAAATTCATTTGTAAACAATAGAGCTTGATGGAGTGAGTGAGTTCACCGCTTTTGTTGTTCTCTTCCATTTTTAGGATTTCGCCTGCCATCTAGTCATTTTGATCACCCCAACTCCTCATCTATAAGGTCATCCTCTTCATCGTTTACTCCTTGGCTCATTTTCAAAGTCATCTCCACTGTTTACCTTGGTGTTTTCGTCATCATTGTCTAATTTACTAAGCCTCGTAAGACGTTTGATAATTTTGTCAATTTTCAAAGTATCCATAGGTCATCCTCTCCATTGTCTATTAATATAAAGGGGAAAGAGAGGAGGTAAGGGATCACTCACCACAGGCCTCACACGGATTCCTCTCAATCTAGTATACTGTTCTATTTAATTCCCACAACCCATTATGTTCACTTTAATCCATCCTGATGGAGGCCCATCTCATCCTCTAGGCGGCAGCCCATGAGATAAGAGGCACATACAGGATAAGGATAATTCAAGATTCAAGATTCAAGATAATTCCAAGAAGACAGGATAACCCATGCATGGATAGATCCAGGGAGATCGGACGGTGGAGGTCGAGGCAACCTCCAAGAAGACTTCGATCCTATCTAGAAGATTAGATGTTTAGATCACTTACAATTTTCGTTCCTACTTACTCTACAATTTTCTAGATGTATTATAAATACAGTTATTTCCAAGCTAATAGGCATTCAAGTTTTCTCGCCAACTTTTCTCTCTCTTCTAGAGATTCAAGCATAGTTCTCTTCGGCTTCACTACGAAGCCTTGCATTCGCCCGGTGCTTGCATAGCCAGCCCAGTTTGTTGCTTCTACGCTGCGTTAGGTGGTATCAGAGCAGGGAGTTCGCCCAGTCAAATGGCCAATCAAGACGGTAGTAGTTGCAATCCACCCCGTGACGGAGATCAGGGGTTACAAGCTGTTTGGAGAGCAATCGAAAAACAGAGCACAACCACACGTAACATCGAGCAGCAGTTGGAAGAGATCGATGGACAACTGCGGACCTTGTTACAGGAGGATGTTCCAAAGAACTGGGAGAACCCGTACCCAATCGAAGGAGACGATCACGTCAATCCTGTACCCTAGCATCCTGCTCTTCATGATGATAGTGACGACGAATTAGAATTCGGCGTCGCTCCAGTCAATCCCGGCGACGGCAGGAACGGTAGAAATTGGCGCAACCCAGGTAATTTCAACCCCCGTTGGAATAATGACGAATTTAAACTCAAGGTAGATATTCGTACTTTTAGTGGGGATCTGGATATAGAGGGCCTTCTAGACTGGATCACAGAAGTCAATCGTTTCTTCGAATACATGGAGATCCCGGAAGAACACAGGGTGAAATTGGTTGCCTTTCGACTGAAGGGAGGCGCATCTGTCTGGTGGAAACGGATGAGAGAAACCCGGATCAGAGAAGGAAGAGGTCCTATTCGAACCTGGAGGCGCATGAAACAACTAATAAGAGGTAGATTTTTACCCCCAAATTATGAGCAATACATGTTTGAATCATATCAACGATGTGCGCAGGGTTCAAGAAGTGTTAATGAATATACATCTGAATTTCTAAGATTGGCTGAACGAAATCAGCTATCTGAAAGTGATAACCAGCAGGCAGCCTGTTATCTGAGCGGCTTAAGGCCAGCTATCAGAGATAAAATTGGCGTCCAGATGGTTCTTAGTGTACAGGAAACAAGGAACCTAGCCTTGAAGGCTGAATTAATGTTCCAAGAGAAGACCCGAGGTGATAATTACCACCGGTACAGTGGGAGCGACAGACCGACAACTGTCGACAAGAACAAATCAGCCCCAGGAGTACAGCCTTCTCACCCGACGAGTACAACTAACGCCGGTAAGGCCATCACGGGAGGAAATACTCGAGGTAACCCTTCCAACCCTCCTAAACCCAGTAATCCCTATGCAAAACCTGCTCCTTTTAAATGCTTTAAGTGCAATGAAGTTGGGCATAGGTCCAGTGACTATCCCAGACGGAAGGCAGTTAACATGGTAGAAAGGGAGGAGGAGGAAGATGTTGAAGAGGAAGTATATTGTGGACCTGATGGAGAAGACGAGGAAGGTTCCTGTGAGCATGAAGAATACACGTGTGTTGTGAGGAAATTAATGTTGTCCCAAAGAAGCAAAGATACCACTCAACGACACCGACTGTTTCGCACTAGATGTACTGTACAGGGTAAATTATTTGATTTAATTATTGATAGTGGCAGCCAGGAAAATATTATTTGTAGGGATGTCATACAGAAATTGCAACTAATTCCTGAAAAACATCCAAACCCATACACAATTAGGTGGATCAAGGAAGTCGGCGGCGTATGGGTGGAGGAACGTTGCAAGGTTCCATTCTCCATCGGTAAGTACTCTGATGAGGTATACTGTGATATTGTAGATATGGATGCTTGCCATATTTTGTTAGAGAGGCATTGGCAGTTTGATACAGATGCAAAACACCTGGGTAGGAAGAATACCTACCAACTAGAGAAAGAAGGTGTACGTTACACCTTATTACCTATGGCAGAAAGGAGTACCCCAAAGGCCCCAAAAACAGATGAGAAAAATTCCCTTACTATTATGCATCACCATGCTGAATTTGTAAAAGAATGTAAGGATACCCGCGAGGTCCACTTGTTGGTAGTGAAGGGAGAAAGTAAGAATGAGACACTGGAAGGAAATAAAATTCTAGTGGAAGTGCAGGAACTACTTGATGAGTTCCATGATGTAGTTTCAGATGAGTTACCAAAAGGACTCCCACCCATGCGAGATATACAACATCATATTGATTTTGTTCCTAGTGCTAGCCTAACTAATCTACCACATTACAGGATGAGTCCTAAAGAGAATGAAATCTTACGAGAAAAGGTAGAAGAATTGTTGAAAAAGGGACATATTCAAGTCAGTATGAGTCCTTGCACAGTACCAGCATTATTAATACCAAAAAAGAATGGAAGTTGGAGGATGTGTGTCGACAGCAGGGCTATTAATAAAATCAATATTGGCTACAAATTCCCCATTCCCAGGCTGGACGACATGCTAGATCAGCTTGATGGAGCTATAGTATTTTCAAAAATCGATCTCAGGAGTGGGTACCATCAGATCAGGATCCGTCCTGGAGACGAATGGAAGATAGCCTTCAAAACTAAAGATGGACTGTTCGAATGGTTAGTCATGCCCTTTGGACTAACCAATGCCCCCAGCACCTTCATGAGGCTAATGAATCAGGTACTGCATCCTTTTATTGGGAAATTTGTTGTGGTATATTTTGATGACATTTTGATTTACAACAAATCTATCACTGAACACATGAGACATATCAGTGAGGTATTAAAAGCATTAAGGGAAAACAAATTATATGCTATCTTAAAGAAGTGCACTTTAATGAGCGATAATTTGTTGTTCATGGGATTCATTATAAGTAAGGATGAAATTAAGGTAGATGAAGAGAAAGTAAAAGCCATTAGGGAGTGGTCGACCCCATCAAACGTCACGGATGTAAGACGTTTCCATGGGTTAGCAACTTTCTACAGGCAATTTATCAAACACTTTAGTAGTATTGTAGCTCCCATCACTAAGTGTTTGAAAAAGGGGAAGTTTCAATGGGGAGAAGAACAAGAGCAGAGTTTTGCCCTCATAAAAGAAATATTATGTACTATTCCTATCCTTGCCTTACCAAGTTTTGATAAACTATTTGAAGTAGAATGTGATGCCAGTGGAATTGGCATAGGGGCTATTGTCCCAAGAGAAGATACCCATTGCCTTCTTTAGTGAAAAGTTATGTGAAGCCAGGAAGAAGTGGTCCACCTATGACAAGGAATTCTATGTTGTAGTTAGAGCATTAAAAACATGGGAACATTATTTAATTGCAAAAGAATTTGTTCTTTACATCGATCACCAAGCTCTTAAGTATCTCAGTAAGCAAAAACAGTTGAGGAGTGATCTGCATGCAAGATGGTCTGCTTTCCTTGATAAATTCCCATACAAAATTATGTATAAGGCTAGGCAGCAAAACACAGTGGCCGATGCTCTCAGTAGACGTGTCGCCCTCATCAAGACCCTCAGTGTTGAAATTGTGGGCTTTGAGTGCTTGAAAGACCTATACGCCCAAGATGAGGACTTCCAACAGGCGTGGGAAAAATGTATGAATCGACAGCCAGTAGGTGATTTCTACATTCATGATGGGTTTCTTATGAAAGGGGAACAACTGTGCATCCCTTGCACCTCCCTCCGCGAAAAGATCATCAAAGATCTACATGGGGGTGGATTAGCAGGACACCTTGGAAGAGACAAAACAATTGAAGCAGTCAAGGGGCGTTACTACTGGCCGAAATTAAGAAGGGATGTGACCACTATTGTGAGTAGATGCTATATCTGTCAGACAGCTAAGGGACAGGCCCAGAATACTGGCCTCTACATGCCTCTACCTATTCCTACTGCGATTTGGGAAGACTTGCCCATGGATTTCGTGCTAGGTTTGCCAAAAACTCCCAGAAATATGGATTCCGTCTTCATAGTGGTTGACCGGTTCTCAAAGATGGCTCATTTTCTTCCATGCAAGAAGACAGCGGATGCAACAGCGACAGCCAAGTTATTTTTCAAAGAAATTGTCCGTTTACATGGGGTACCTAAGACCATCACATCAGACCGAGATACGAGGTTTCTAAGTCATTTCTGGATGACCCTGTGGAGGCTATTTGACTCATCATTGAATTTCAGTAGTACAGCCCATCCGCAGACGGACGGACTGACAGAAGTGGTGAATCGGACCCTTGGTAATTTGATTCGCAGCATCAGTAGGGAGAGACCGAAGCAGTGGGATTTTGCCATAGCACAGGCCGAGTTTGCCTACAATAATGCAGTCCACAGCTCTACAGGTAGATCTCCGTTTTCCATTGTCTATATGAAGGTTCCTAATCATGCACTGGACTTAGTGAAGCTACCCAGAGTACCCAATGCCTTGGCAGAACAGCTGGCAGAGCAGATCCAGTCCGTCCAAGATGCCGTAAAGCAGAAACTGGAGCAAACCAACGCAAAATACAAGATGGCGAAAGACAAGCATCGTCGGCACCAAGTATTTGACGTCGGTGATGAAGTTATGGTGTTCTTGAGAAATGAACGGATTCCCGGGAAAGTATAACAAGCTACAGCCTCGGAAGTACAGTCCATACAAGATCATGAAGAAAATCAACGACAATGCTTATGTCGTGGACCTACTAGATCACATTGGTATCTCTAAGACATTTAATGTTGCTGACCTTCATCGATACCTACCCAAGACGACACTTGCATATCCCAATCACGACTCAGGGTCGAGTTCTTTCCAAGTGGGGGTAAATGATGGAGGTCCATCTCATCCTCTAGGTGGCAGCCCATGAGATAAGAGGCACATGCAGGATAAGGATAATTCAAGATTCAAGATTCAAGATAATTCCAAGAAGACTGGATAACCCATGCATGGATAGATCCAGGGAGATCGGACGATGGAGATCGAGGCAACCTCCAAGAAGACTTCGGTCCTAGCTAGAAGATTAGATGTTTAGATCACTTACAATTTTCTTTCCTAGTTACTCTACAATTTTCCAGATGTATTATAAATATAGTTATTTCCAAGCTAATAGGCATTCAAGTTTTCTCGCCAACTTTTCTCTCTCTTCTAGAGATTCATGCATAGTTCTCTTCGGCTTCACTACGAAGCCTTACATTCGCCCGGTGCTTGCATAGGCGGCCCGGTTTGTTGCTTCTACTCTGCATCACATTCTATTTAATCACATAAATTCAAATTTAAGTCCGACGGAGAAATAACTAAATTCTCTATACTTTACACCTTATTCCCACAACCCATTAGTTAATCCATCTTATTTAATCACCTAAATTTAAATTTAAATTTGACAAAGAATAACCTAAATTATTCTCTGTACGTTACACCATACTCACTTAATTAATCACTTAATTAATTATCATTAGTTTCACTTTAATACATCTTATTTAATCACTTTAATTCAAATTTAAATTTGACAAGAAAAGCCTAATTCCCACCACCTAACTTTGGAGGAGTCTTTAGTCTTTTATGTCTCTCTCTCTTCCTTTGTCTTCTCAAGAGCCCCCTGCTCTCTCTCCCTCTCTCTACTCTCTAGTGTACAAATGGATTGGATCTGGTCCAAAGTCCAATCGTATATTCTCATATTTGGATAGCCCCACTTTGGATATATAGATCAGATCGGATAATAGGATCCGATCAAAAAGCATATTTAATTTGAATCACTCCTATCTGATTTGAGAAGATCCAATCCGATATATGTTATTTATTTATTTATATAAATATAACACATACATATGCACACATGCACATTTATACATATATATATACATATATGTTATTTATTTATTTATTTATAGATATATTATTTATATTATATTTTTGTAAATTTTTTATATTATTTATTTTTTTATAGAAAACATGTATATATATGATCAAAATAGTTGAAAAGATATATGTATTTTTTGTTTTTCTTTATTTAACTTATTTTATTTATTTTTATTTTAATAATTTATTTATTTAAAAAAGCAAATCAGATCAGATCAGATCCAAAGATATGATTGCCTCATCGGATCAAATTCAAATCCATGTTTATGAGATCCGACCAGATGTGCAATTAATAGTGTCAGATTGGATTCAAATATACCCTGATTCAAATCCGATTCGATCCATTTGCATCCATACCTCTCTCTTCTTTTTTAACCTTTTGAATATTATAATTTTTTATCTACTATTCCTTCTATCAGGATCAATGCTTACTCTATTTTTTATTTTAGGGAAAACGATGACTACTCTCTTATTAGCTCAAAGTAATTATTGTTGCATGGAACTTGCTAGAAATTGCCATATATTGACCATCACAATAAGTTTTGTATCTTTTTTTCTTTTTCATGGAGTCATTGGCTACCCTTTATTGCTTCAAAGTGATCTTATATAAATCTGGTTACTTTCCCCCTTTTCCTTTTAGTTTTGCATCAATGCAAATCCATTTGCATTGCAACCAAACACAGCCTAAGTCTCAATTTAGAAACAGTACAAATAGAAATTTATAATGTAAAACCTTGTATTTTGTATTATTTTACATGTATTTATACTTTTTCCAAACTGAGTGTACGTAAGAAATTTTCAAACATTACAAAATGAATCCGTTTCTGATTAATTTTATATTCTAATTTCTAATAATAAATCTTTTGATGATGAATGGATCGATTCAAGTAATAAGAAATTAAAATGTATATTCATGTGATTTTTTCAATGTGCATTTGAACTTGTTTGTCAAAAGGCATGGTTTACGAACTATTATTGATCTGGACGGTCAGACCATTAATTAGCGACAATTTCCATGTGATCCATTGACTCATGTGATTGAACCATCTTCGACCTGAAAAATGGTTTTTGGCCATTTTTAATATTTATTTTTTATTTTTATTTGTTTTAAGTACAACAGACTTCATTTAGAATTAATAATTGAACCGCTGACCCAAAAACTGGTGACCAAAGCAATTTCCGATTCCGGGTCAGTTTTTAATACATTAATGATTAAATAAGATGCTCTTTAGTGCGTCATTAATAGTTGAGAGTTGAGACTAAGAATGCAATGCTTTCAAGAAAATATGTTAAAAAAAAAGGGTCCAGCCACGTTGCTAGTTATGTGATTCATATTTGGTTTATTAAACAGAAATTTCTAATGTGACACAATTTTCACGACAACTCCTTTTGTTATGCTAAACATATAGGCTGCATTTGGAAGAGGTGTAAAACGTCATCAGTAAAATCGATGTAAAAAGTGGTTTTAAGTAAAATCGATGTAAAACATATATGCTAAACATATAGGCTGATGACATTTTACACTGAACCTTAAATATAATGACCGTTGTATTTTGAAATCGATGTAAAAAGTGGTTTAAGTTTTACATCGATAAAATCGATGTAGTTTTTACACCGATTATCGATGTAAAACTTTAAATGTGATGAGGTTTTACATCTATATTGATGTAAAACTACACTCCATCCAAATGCGTGCAAAACTGAACCGGAGTGTAGTTTTACGTCGATAATTATTACACTTGTTTACTAAACGCATACAAAAGCGAACTGATATAAATTTTACATCGGTTCTTGATTTACATCGCATCCAAATACAGCCATAGGAATTAAAGTCATGTATATGTGATCATGTTAAGAGTCTAGCAATCATACTAAAATTTGACTTCAAAATTTGTATGAGAACCCCATGTGAACATTCAATTCTTCAACTACATTTGACTCGCTAAGGACAGCGAGTTCAAATGCCTCCCACAAGGGGTGCCCTACAGTGTCCCACAATACATTTTCGCATATATTGGAAACATCTCTTGATAAGTACCAGAAATGATAAGGTATCATCGGGAGATATTCCTAATACACAGTAGGGATGTGTTGTGAGACGTTAGGGTGCCCCCTTTTGGGGGGTTGATTTGAACAGCAGGGCAGATTTTAGTTAGGCTCCGTTTGGTTTGTGCGATGGGGATGAGAAAAAGGAAATATTCCAAAAATATTTCATTTTTTCTCATTTGTTTTGAGAGAAATAGAGGGATGGGATGAGAAAAATGTAGGATGTCAAACCCCAAAATCGTGGATTTGGGGTCACACCAAAGTCGTGTGACTCCGGTGGAAAATTTTGAGAAATCACTGTTACCATCGACAACGAAGAACCAGTGCCTCCCCTTCCCCGTTCGAAGTAGTGGAGGTTTCTTTGGTTCTCTGGTTCAAAGTAGAGAACCAGATTTGCTACCTTCCTGGTTCGAAGTAGAGAACCAGCGACGAAGAAATCACTGTTACCTCCCCTTCCCCGTTCGAAGCAGCAGCGTCTTCTCTGATTCTCTGGTTCAAAGCAGAGAACCAGATCTGCTACCTTCCTGGTTCGAAGCAGAGAACCAACGACGAAAAATCACTATTACCAGTGGCGGCAGCTTCTCTAGTTCGTAGTAGAGCAGCAGCAGTGGCTTCTCTTTCTTCTTCTTCTGCTACCTCCCCTTTCGAACCCAGATCTGCTACCTTCCCCACTCGAACCCAGATCTGCAATACCGTTCGTCGTTCATCGTTTTCACTTTCAGTCGGTGAACTAATGTTCGTCTTCATCTTGGTGAAACAGAGCACCCAATGGCTTCCTCTTCGTCACAATGTTTTTTCCATTATTCTCCCATATCTAAAACCAAACAATGGAAGTGTAAATTTTTACACTTTTCCATCCCATCTTTTCCCATTTGTATGGGGTTCTGCATCTGGAACCCCATACAACTACATTTGACCCGCTAGAGCCACACAGCGCTAAATGCAGTTTTAGGGTGCAGAAAACACAAACTTTATATACATTTGACTCACTAAAATCTATATATTCATGAAGTTGTTTAGGGTGAGGATAATCGAATAAGATTGACACAATGTGTTGTGGTTGCTACGGGTGTACACGGGTTGTCTCGGATTGGTTGCAGGTATTTTGGTCAATTGAACCGACCACTTGGGTGTACACGGGTTGTTGTGGTTGCTACAACCATAAGTGAAGTTGGTTTTGCAGTTTGATCAGATCGTTCTACTAGCCATGCTTAGGAGTGAACAAGAAAAACTGAAAAAATAGGTAGTTAACCGAACCGATCAGATATATATATATATTTTATACTATCTATATATTTTTATATTATATATTTTATTATTTATAATATAATATTTTATATGTAATTCTAATTTTTTATTATATATTTATATATACTTTCTGCAATATATTTTATAAAGTAAAAAAACTGAAAACCCACAAACTGAACTGAAGATTAATCCAACTGATCAACCGATTAACCAATCGTTTTTTGTTTGGTTTTGGTTATCGGTTTTTCAAAAACTGGTGCTACCGGTTTGGTTTGAAATTAATTGAACCGTGAGCACCCTAGCCATGCCAACTTTCTTTTTAAACCCATCTTTTTGTATTTTTAAGGTTTTAAATAATTAAAATATACTCTATATAATATATTTATAGTCAGTTTGGGTTAATTTACGCATGTTGAAACCAAGGATTTAAATATCAACACGATACGCTCGATACAGGGCGTATTGTATCGGTATCAGCC